GTCAAGAATTAGCAAACGGCAGGATTTGCATAATCATTCTTCAGTGGATATATTATGTCATGGGGGTGGGGGTGGGGTTGGGATGGGTGCCGAGTGCTGGTTTGCGGCCAAATACCGATGTACTCGATGGAATGTGACGGCTTTCACCGAGTTGTTCAGTTGTCGTTATTGTTTTCCAAATCATCAAATAGAGAATAAGGTGTACAGTTCTTATATCAGACAGACATAACTAGTATTCGGATAAACACCACGACAAAAATCTCGGACGAAATTCTTAACGCAAGTGGTTAACACATCAAGCAGATACTAGCTGTGGCTAAAGATTTGCCAGGATTCAATGGAACACAATGAAGAACTTTGAATCTCCAACGTTACACTCGATCGTTCCACATTTTCGTTCTTGATGATATCAAGTGTCAAATAATTAGATTTAAATAAAAGTAAATTGGAGAGGATGAATGACAATCCAACTTAGCAATCTTTGGGTTTTATTGTAAAACTTTAATCAGACGGGTGCATGGATGTAAGAATACAGTTTAAATAAATAAAAAAAATATCGTTTTATCGCTCGAAAATTTATCATTTGTTTATAAGTCAACAGATACAGAAAGATTTCTTTGACTACAGCTAAATTTTAAGCTCTAAGGAACCCATGTCGTGGATGAAAAACCTTTTCCGAATCCTTCCAACGCACAGGCCCCGAGGAATGATCAACCATCACAATAGGTTCCTTGGCCCCTGGGAATCGCCGTCTGCATACTGTGTGTATTTATAATAGGCATAATTGTTGATCGCCGACGTGATGCTTCCAGTTCCTTGAAGCGTATAGACCCCTTGCAGTTCATGGGAATGCAGCTCCAACTGGAGGACAAAACAATAGATTCTAGTTCCCAAGAGGATAAAAATCTTTTGTTTTGTCCTCCAGATGAAGCTGTTTTGACGTCACATGCAAGGGGTCTATACAGCTATTACACCTCTGCAGCTTTTACGTCATGTACCGTATACGCAATGCATCATAGGACATGTTTGGGACAAAACATGGCGGATTTCTTTTGTTTTCTCTTGAAACTGATCCCACAATGCATTGAAAATCAAGTAGTGACGTAAAAGGTTCAGGAGTCTATTCAGAAGACTTAAGATACTGAAGATAATAGTGTATCAAGATCAAAATGCATTGTGGGTTTCTATCATTATTCAAAAGCGGTTAGCCTGCTTAGCGGCTCTAGGGGAGGGGGAAGGGCAAGCAAGTAGTGTTCATGGTTCAGAGTGACTACATCAGCTCCGATTTGTAGTCAAGAACTTCTAAGAAAAGCAATTGAATTTAGAATTTCAATTTTGAAACGCAGCTTACTCGAGGTTTACTAAATCTCTTAATGCCCAGCCATATGCAGTCCTTGACTNACCTCTGCAGCTTTTACGTCATGTACCGTATACGCAATGCATCATAGGACATGTTTGGGACAAAACATGGCGGATTTCTTTTGTTTTCTCTTGAAACTGATCCCACAATGCATTGAAAATCAAGTAGTGACGTAAAAGGTTCAGGAGTCTATTCAGAAGACTTWAGATACTGAAGATAATAGTGTATCAAGATCAAAATGCATTGTGGGTTTCTATCATTATTCAAAAGCGGTTAGCCTGCTTAGCGGCTCTAGGGGAGGGGGAAGRGCAAGCAAGTAGTGTTCATGGTTCAGAGTGACTACATCAGCTCCGATTTGTAGTCAAGAACTTCTAAGAAAAGCAATTGAATTTAGAATTTCAATTTTGAAACGCAGCTTACTCGAGGTTTACTAAATCTCTTAATGCCCAGCCATATGCAGTCCTTGACTGTGTAATAAGCTGTGCTARCGTACTTGATACCTTATACGAGTGGCAAATTACAACGATTGATCCTGTCATTACATGGGATGAACGCTCTTTGAACTCTGTAAATTTCATGTAAAAATCTCGTTTAGTCATGGAAACAATTCGCATGATTTTCGACATTTACTAGTAACATAATATATATACATAGAATTTACTGAATTCAAAGCGCGCGATGTTCTTCCCGTGATATGAGCGTTTTTACAATTGACGACTTTCTATATCTCAGGTTCATTTACCGTGAGGCGTTAAGGTTCACTGAGCGCAGATATTTTCTTTTATGTTCATTGCACCTTGACGCCTTGGTCCAATGGTTTGTTCATGGTCAATGAACCTGATTATGGAATATTGTGAATGAAATAGAGAAAAGATAGGAAAATAATTTTGAAATTGTCCAGTTTATTTTACCAAAGATTTTTTAATGAATTGCATTCCAGTTATATCTATTCCCTATGTTAAGTTACAATCTATATATTACTCGCTATTTTTCTTCAGGTTCTAAATCTTTTCCAAGAATACACAGATAGAACACATGAAGAGCTTCAAAAGACATCTGCATAACGCTAACAGCACGTTTTAGACTTTYCGCTACAGCAGGAAGCTTTTTCTTCACCCAGACCTTTGAAGGGATCAGCGATGTCGTAAGGATCAGGCTGGCTGGTAGCAGATGAAGGCTTTGAAGATATATCGAAGTGTTTGGAGAATCTTGATTGACGTATGACGTCCGCAATGTTGGYCGACACCTCACAGGCTTTGCCGTTCTAAGAAAAAWGAAATGGAAGATGAAAAAAYACTGAAACGAAATGGGAATGGATAAATGAACGAACRATAGGTGAATTAATGATAACAATAYATAATAACAATGAATAAATAAGTTAATGTAAAATTAATAAATCGAGGGAAAAAAGAGTATCATACCTTAAATATATGATAAACGTCAAACTTTAGTTYGTCTGGATGTTCCTTGACTGTTCCTGTAAGAAAATATTTGYTATTATTAAAATATTTTTTCATACAAAATTCAAGCATTTTTCATTGACTTTTCAAGGATTGATTTTTAATTTTCATGGAAACCAATTACAAAGAGAAAGATAGAGTTACTAAACTTACTATACTTGTGTCTTCTCAAACATAACAATAAGAACATTACATTACAAACAAGCTGTTGGCGTTTAATTGATTGACAGGAGTCAATTACTTATTGGAAGCATAGTTATAGTTTGATGTAGGTTCCATATTTTTTTTTTCTGGATTGATTGCGTTAGTTGTTCAAATGTCAGTTAACTTCAACTAAACATGTCCTAGAAGTCCTAATCATCTAGTACTGATCAGTTCAGATCAAGGACTGATAAAAACCATGCAAAATCTATATAGAGTGAGTGGATAACTTTAAATGGGGGAGAATTTTATCCACCCTTGGTCAACTCACCCCTTWATAATAATAACAATTATAAAAATAATAATCTATGTTGTACCTTTGTAAGTCACSTCAAAGACCTCCTTGCTTTCATCTGATCTTGGTGTTTTGTAGAGACGATAAGTAGCAGAGACGAACTTAGCATCACCTTAAGATAWAACATGTAACTATTTAGTGCACGATACATACATGTAATTAAGAMTTGGCAGGTGACAGTGAAGGGAGTGGTTCAAGAMGTTCCGKCACTTCCACTTTCTTGGCAGAMAATTATATGAGACTTTATTKGGYAGTTTGTTAAGTGTAAATCTAAAACAATACTYGTGCAATGTTGCAGTCAATGGTCTTCTTTTAGGTCCTAAAACTGAAAAACAAAACTGGAACCCCTTATGAAATCCCTGCCCAAGGCCTGTAAATTGTCTAAATAATTGAAAAAGGTCCACTTGATATCAGAGATTAGACTTTTTTTTGCCAAAATATGAAAATCAAAAGAAAACCATTTCACAAGATTGTCATTGAGCTGTAAGTCTTCTACTGTGCTAGCTTGCATATGATAATTGATMTCATGGAAGATGAGACAAGTCAAAAGGTTCAAAACTGTCCCTTGTGAAGTTTAAAAATAAATCAACACAGTACCTAATACTTTCTTGTGTTCTTCTTTCTTGATCTCAGTAATGTTGCTTGCGACCAAATATGGACCACTAAGCCCCACCTCTTTACACAAATCTACCAGCTCTCTCCACCATAATGCACCCGCAATACATTCCCCTTTGGTGACAAAACAGAGTCACATTACTTTGTTGCATACAGWGACTTAATGCTTAAAATGCAAACAACAATAACAGTCAATGGATGGGYTATCTTACCCCAGAGAACTTCATGTTTTCTTATTTCATCAGACAAATGTCTATCAGCATAAACATCACTGAAATATACCTCTCCCCCATCCTGATAACCAATCAGAAAAGCTTGTTAGCTAACTGGTATCATTCAGTTAAATTAATAAATGCATCAGTCAATCAACCAACCAATTAATCAACAAACTCATCAACCATTCATTTAATCAACCAATCCAGTCTGTCAATYAATCAATCATATACCTTTAAGACTCTAAGAGCTTCAATTAAGACAGCTTTCTTGTCTGATGTTAGATTAACCACACAGTTTGACCTAAATACAAAAATTAGTACATATCAGGCAGGTAAGCCAAGCAGATCACCAAAGGGAGAAAAAWATGCTAATGCTGATAAAAAGGTCCAACACTTACACAATGACATCTACTGAGGAATCACTAACACCAGCCTTGTCAAGATTCTCAATTTCACCCATTTTAAAGACAGTGTTGGCCTTGGAGTAACCAAACTTGTCTTTGTGATAGTCAATGTATTTATTGGCAACATCCAACTGAAATGACAAATTATAAATAGTAAGTTATCAAGCTGATAGTCTCCTCACACCCGTTTTTTGGTGACAGGAATGTCCGAGGAGGCTACCAAGCTGATTAGTTACAATCTTTTACAACCAATGATTCAATCATCTGATATTATAATGGATTGTGGTTGCAGATACCTGTTCCTGGGTCATGTCCACACCAGTAACCTGGCCTTCCTCACCAACCATTTTACTAAGAACAAAGCAGTCACGCCCTGACCCACTTCCCAAATCAAGGACATGAGTGTTCTCAAGCACTTCTGGGAATACAAGGCCACACCCATAGTATCTATAAAATTAAAAGGATATATTGCTTGTATAGTGTTGTAGTAGTAAGTTTTTTTATCATGGCAGGTTARGTTSTGTATTCTTGGCATGCAAGTTACATTGGATGAAAATCACAAAGCATTCCTCATTAACTTCTCTTGTTCATTCATCCAACATGGCGGCGATAGCTTTGTTCTTCATTTCTCAGGGGATTTGTGGTGATATCATGGTTGCAAATGAAGAATAAATTAAAAGAATCAGTTATAAATTTCATTCATGGTATGAATCTTGATCAAGAAAATTAAGATTGTTATATATTTAAAGCAATGATTCTAACTCTTGCGATATGCCATGACTTCAGACGGACTACTTGTACCTAACTTAATTAAAATGCAAAGTCATCTTCCACGATTACATAATTTTATAAATTTTATAAATTTGTTGCAGAAATTCTCATAGATCACCTTTTCAAATATATAACTTCGAAGAACARCAACAATCACAATTCTGGATAGCGTCTTGATGTTGTGGTGTCCATGTAGTGTTACATAAGCTTAAGTAAGTTAATGAGATTGCAGACATTTAGAACGCTTCGATTGCTTTCATCAGTTTTGATTAAAACCTTAATCTTAGTCAAAATATTGGTACTGTRTAATTGTCAACACATTAAAACCTAAGTTATTTCATTCTATCACAATGTGAGCAGCCATCGTTATTCCAATGACAGTACAAAATTCAGGAAGAGAAGAGAGGAATAGCTTTACCTTGACACGACTTCATCGTGACAGAGTTTCAGAGCCTCTTTTATGTGAGCGGGGATATTCTTTGCATCGCAAGCAGAGTACGTGCAAGCGCTTGTTTGTAGGTCTGCAGAGGTCTTTAGTCTCTTTCCATAGTATTCTTTAACACTTTCTTTGATTTGTTTGTCCTCGCTAGGCTTTTTCTCGCAACACGACATGATGTACACTTCAAAATGACTAGGCAAATTCTTGTGAGAGGCTGTTTCATGATTTGTCATTTGGGCTCCCTGTGGAATAAAAATTTACATTTTATTTTTCAAAATACTTATACAATGAAATTTTTAGTTATTAATGAGTATTTTGTCTACATTACATGTCGGGAAGTGTCTTTTTTTCTATGYTGATGAGTATTTTTTGCCTTACTGTAATAAAAATGTTATTGAAAATTAATTTTCTTTGTTTCTTGGGTTACCTGAACGACAGATAGAGCAAGACATGCGTAGTAAAACCAATATGGCGGCTGGCTTTGACACAAAGTGTACATTGCGTTTATAATTAGACTATTCARCCAATTGATATACATTTTCTTCTATTTTTAAACTTTTCTATTAATGAACTGTTAGTACAAGAGTTTAGACATAATTTTTCGAAAATCTAGTCATAAAAAGTAGCAAATTTAGTTGGATTTTGTGATTGACATCTGCATCTTGTCGACAATTCAATCATGGAATTTGTCAAGGAAGTTCACAACGATATCCTGAAGTCTTCGCAGGATGATCGCGAATATCGAGGACTTGTTCTGAATAATAACATGAAGGTGTTGTTGATTAGTGATCCCACATCAGAGAAAGGTGCAGCAGCCATGGATGTGCTCATAGGTGAGGTTGTGTTCTTCTCAAGATCTYACTCCTTTTGAATAATTCACATTCATACTTTGTTCATACACAAGGCCTTAGATATGAGGTTTAAAATGGTCCAGATTTTGAAAAAATGGTTTTCTGGGATAGCACTGGTTGTTGTACTGTTCTACGACAATTTTGTTCTACAAAATTGGATGGTTTTTGGTAACATAAGTACTTAAATTTCATTAAAAATTCATTCACTATTAATGATCTTAGTAAATAAATTGTAAATACATGTATCTTTTACAGAAATCATTTGCTCTGTTATTCTGCAGGTAGTATGTCAGATCCTAGTGATTTACCGGGACTTGCTCACTTCTGTGAACAYATGCTGTTCCTAGGAACAGAGAAAGTACGTATAATGTTATGCCACACACAGTCAAACTTAATATATGTGTAAACATGACCTCAAGTTGCAAAAAAATTCATTTATACCAAAAAGAACATTGTAGGATACTGATGAATAAAACATAAGTCYGATAATAATATATAACATGGTGAATTATATGTCATTATCCTTATCAGGATACAAAAGATCAGTCTTGTGACTGTACTGACAACCCTAATTGGTCAAATATCTCATGAATAATTAATGAACTTTGTCTAACTATCAAAAGATATTTTATTATTATTATTATTTATTTTTTTTGTATTTGTATTTAGTATCCAGAAGAGAATGCCTACACACAGGTTAGTGATATCTAGTATGTAAACCCAAAAGCTCCTGGCAATAATGAGTACAGCTGTAATATAATGTATACTACACCCGGGGGGGGGTACTCCCCCGAAACTTGTGTGGGGGTGTGCCGCTGGGACCTCAAAACCCTGACCCTGTTCCAGAGTGAAATCGCTGAAAACTATACCCTGTTCCAGAGTGAAATCGCTAAAATCGATACCCAGTTCCAGAGTAAAATCGCTGAAAACGATACCCTAGCTGGCGGCACGTCCCCGTATAGCGAATATAGGGGAGTACCCCCCCCGGGATACTACATATATGTATACCACTCAAAGAAACTCTACAGTTATTCTAAAATATTGATATTTCTTGTCATTCAGTTTCTTACAGAACATGGTGGATCATCTAATGCATTTACTTCTGGTGAACACACCAACTACTACTTTGATGTCAAACATGATTGTCTTTCACAAGCACTAGACTTGTGAGTATTGAAACTAACCTTCATGCCATCGTAACCTCCTCACTATAAGATAAATGTAGTTAGTTAGTTAGGCGGATGACTCCGAGATATAACAATGGCACTCCAAACGACCCTGTCTTCCATCAACGTAGCCAGCTCGTGTGAGCTGATTGCCCCAGTGTCGTGCTTGAAGGTGTCTACATAATTCGATTGAGAAATTCCATTCAATGCTTATTTCKTATTACCTGAAAAAATTATTGCCCGAAGCACTTGATGTTTCCATAGCGCGTGTTCTTAGGAGAGAACCTGGGTAGAATAGTGTGTCTCACACACTGGGCCAGGTATTTTTATCTTTCGAACTGATTTMATTTAACAATATTTGTTGTTTAATCTCTTAGGGGTTTCAAAYGCATCTTTTTTTTTCAATACTTCCGGGATCTTTTATTATTTAAGGGTSTTATTGAAAATTTCTGACGAGCATCCCCGGTACTGTTACCCTGGAGTCTCATACAGGCAACAGCTAAAACTTTGCTTGTACATGTAAGCCTGAACCATTAAAGCACAGACTCATTTCAAGAAGTTGTTATTATAAAGAGCTCATAATTTCTTTTGACCACATATTTTTAAGAACTTTAAAAATAAAATATATTTAAAATAGATATTCCAGAGTGAGAGATACTACATGAACTATGTATGTACATGCTTTGTAATAAGTCAATTCTAAGACCATAAGATTACAATTACTTCTAAATTAAACAATGGAATCCCACTTTGTTTTGAATGCTATAGATTTGCCCAGTTTTTCTTGTGTCCTCTGTTTAATGCTGATGCTACTGAAAGAGAAGTCAATGCTGTTGATTCAGGTACTATAAGATCATTAGTTGAAAAATACTCCATCTTACTGTTCCAAGTGCCATCTATCAATAAGCAAGACTGGAGCTAAGCCTGTAGTGATAGATACCTTTTGTTCATACCTAAGAATTTAGAGCAAGCCATGCATAGTATGTTGCAAG